GGTGTAGTACAAAAAGATAACGCCTGCGTCGCTCCGTGAAAACCCTTTACCGTCTCCGGGGCCTCGGGGCATTCCTCCCTCCCTTCCTTGGTCGTGCTTGAAACCACGGGCACACTGATGAGGCCTTTCTGCCGAAAGATGCAAAAGAACACCGTATAAGCGGCACGTCCGAGAGCCAAAACAGCCCAACAACAACACACAACGACTGTCAACGCAGCAGCTCGGGTAATTTCACAAACACCACCGACTTACCTCGCTGTCTGTTGGTGGCTTCTGGTACACAAAGAGGGGAGTCAGAGAAGGCCTGCAGCCTTGCGACGTCGAAGCCCGGGATTGCGACCATTTGTTTCAGTGAGATTTCAGTAAGTTTGCTAGGTGCGCCCACTGCGCTTGAAAATGGACGGTGGGCAAGCTACACTTCAAGACTGCAGCTTGGGTGGGGAGACTACTAGAGCAGCCATTTCTATTATTTCTATTTAATTTATGTTTCTCACAGTACTACAGCCTTTATGAAATGAATATTATGTTTGTTAAATATGTTAAATATATTACCTTTTGTTGAATAAATGCTTTGAAATGGGAATTTTTAAACTTCGATTGAGGGCGATGACCACTTAGCGCCACTCTCACCTGAGACAGGCAGCACATCTGTCAGCACAGACGCTGTTTGCCCATCATCACTCATCTGTCAGCACAGATGCTGTTTGCCCATCATCCTGCATGCAGTGATGATGTTTATATTCATATTGAAAGATAAAAGATATGGAAATGTTATTCACTAACGTTTCACATGGTTCATGCTTAACTCACATGCCATATCATGACAATAACGAACTGGTGCGCGCAAAAGACGCGATATGTGAACGGCCCCTAAGCCTGTACGGAACACTGTTAACCCTTATCATTTTCCGTACACTGGCGGAGGAGGTACATTTCCCCACTTTTCTCAAAAACTATTGGTCCTAAAGACATCAATCAAAGTGTGGACTGTATAATGGGTATTCCCCCAGAGAATGATCACACAAACATGCTTGTTTGTCTTTCAATAACGGAGGAGTGGTCGCTGGCGTGCGGCGAATAGCGAAAAGTGTACGGAACATGGTTCGTCTACGTATTTTAGCGTTACTGCTTATAGTATAAGGTTAACGTCAAAGAAGGGCACTAGTGTTAACGTTAGCCGGCATTTTTTCAGTAAACTCAGTCCTAACGTACGTTTTGAATGTCGCTGCTGTTAACTGCAATGTTTAGGGCTGCGTTTCTCAAAAGCATCGTGAGCCAAGTTGTTAACGGCAATGTTTAGGGCTGCGTTTCTCAAAAGCATCGTGAGCTAAGTCGATTGTTGAGACCATTTGGTGGCAAATGTTTCTACGATCATCTTAGCCATACAATGCTTTTTTTGGGAAATGCCCTGGTAAATGTGATTTTTATTTGGTCTGTTTTTAAACGACTAGCTGCTAAGAGTATTAATCCAAGATTAGGTTAAAGCTAATACACAGACATGAATTTTGCAATATGTTAAATTTACTAAAGCAATCTACAAACTTGTAGTAAACCTTTACAAATGTTCTTTAATTGCAGGCTGAGCTGGATGCTGAATACAAAAGAGTGAGCCTCAACACTTAAGGTAACTTCTATTCAGTTGAAGAGCAAGTTGTGTGATGTGTCCTCACATAACAGGACACAGACTCGGCTTTCTCTTTTCTACACCCATTGTTGGTTATACACTTACTTGCGCGTGTTTGTGGTTTTCTAGGTTTGTGCTGAGTTTCACCATATCAGAGAAAGTGGCACACACCAGCAAGATTTCACAGAAGTTGCATGACATTTGAAATGTTTGATCTTCAGGTGAGTGCAAATTCACAAACACTAACTACCTCCATCACGGTCTTCATTGTATATAAAATAAAGTTGGCCTGCTTGTTTAACATGTTTATTTTTTTTGTTTACATGATGTCAACATGAAACGAGCCCTTCTTGCTCTCCCAGTATACGTGTGTGAGGAGAACTGTTCTTCAGGACATGAAATGTAAGTATTAAGTGCATTAATAGATCTGAAATAGAGTGGGAGAACGATGACGTCAGAACCAGGAAGTGTAATTCGCAGCGGGTTCCTTTGAGATTTTCCTATGGGGTTTTT